TCATGCTGGCACTAGGCCTGCTAGAGGGTACCCTTTTCTACTGCCTGTGGGACTCTGGACAACTTTTTGCGCAGCTCTGGAGTGAAAGAAGTCACTTAAATTAGTTTCTCATTAAATTTCTTGATCATTAATTTGTCTGATGCGAACTTCAAGAATGTGTGGGACAAAGTATCTAAGAGCTAGATGGTTTATTTCCATTCTGATAGCCATCTTGGCAGGAAGTCCTGAGAACCATTTCAGGATTTTATTTTATGAATTGTGATGGCCAAACAAAATCACCAAAAGGCTAACTTATTAGTGATAAGTCTCTCCATACAATCTACATAGGTAGATTGGTTCTTGGAGAGCAAATAGTATGTCATGGGATCTGCATTCAAAGCCTTTCTAACATTCAAGAACCTTTCAGAATTCATAACCATATGACATAGTCTTCAATAACCACAGGTAACTTCCATGTTATAATGAGGCATCAGCATGGATATAAAGGAGAGAATAAGTAAAGGAAGGAGAAAAGCTCAGCAACAGAGTGAACATAAGTATTTATATTAGGGAATAAAACTGTGAGCAAAAAGAAAATTATATAATTGTAATATAAAGAATATCTGGTTATTTTCATGTATACCCAAAATAAAAACCTATGGGTTCTACAGTTAATAAAAGCTTTGTGGACTCTAGTTTTCTAGTTTTGTAAAACAAGAGGTTTGAAGTAGATGGGCTAAGTTCTATCCTGGCTATATCTATGTGACTGTAGGAGACTATAAAACAAATTTTAATTTAAGGAGTTATAATAATTTACTTACAGCATGAACTACTCTGGTTCTGTCTGATGCCTAGCATGGAAAAATCAATACTTTTAAGATGAGAAAATAAAACCAGCAGAAAAAATGATATTATATACCCCAAAATATCTACAGCAGTACTTCCTGGTCAATGTAAAAAACTGGGAACAAGGTAGAGGCCTAAAGAACCAGAAAGGCTAAAAGAAATTATATGTATATAATGCAAGATAGTATACTGACCCATAAAAACAATGAATATAAAAGATCCAGAGAAGCATAAGAAGATCTATGAGATACAGTGAACCGAACCAGGTAAAAATATATACAATGATTTTTAACAAAATCAACCCCCCAAATTGTCTGAACACTATGTAATTATAATGACCTAAGAAAACGTACCTCCCTTCTCTATGAGATTGACTAAAGGCATAGAAGATTGCACATACCATCAGATTTAGTCAATATGTTAATTGGTTTAATTATATGGCAATTCTTCCTTTTTCATTTTATACATTGTTGTAAATGATGGCTTATTAGAGAATGGGGTTGGTGATATATCAACAAATGAAGGTAAAGTAAAAATAAGAGAAGTTAATTAAAAAAACTTTTTTTTAAAGAAAGAAAATAAGGCTAGGAAGGAGATTTAAAAACAAGCAGAATTTTTCAAAAAAGAACAGAATGTGGAACAATTTTTTAAAAAAATACAAGATACTAAAAAAGGAAGATATTGAAAGTTTTCCTCATCTAGTGGATAAGTGGGTTTAAATTGAGATGCATAATATTTTTTTTCATAAATGCTATGTAATTAGTTACTAAGAGAGGTTCTAGAACCTCAAATTGCATATTTTTTTTAATTCTACCGGAGAATATGTAAAGGAATGCTTATAAAAATAAGGTCTCTGGTCTATAAAGATTTAAATTTGGTTTTCTAAGATTTTGGGACATCATTTGAACCTTTAAATTTTCTCAATGCTTCAAGATTCAAAAATCTTTAAGAGCAAGAAAATTAAAATTCCCTCCATTATGTCTAACATACACATTGCTACATGGAACTAAGTATTTGTTGTAGGTGAGGCACAAAAACAGCATCCTCTTAGTTCAGTCTGATGACGGCACTCAAGAGTCACTGTGCATTTAACAAAGGAGGTTTACCTTGCCCTAAAACAGTATTGTTATGCAATAAGGACACAGTGGCACTATGCTTCTCTGGATATGGTCCCCCTCATCTTGTCTCTATCTAGAAATCCATTTGGCTAGTAAGTCATCAGGATGTGGCAACCTGCATGGTATCAGGCACCCATCAAGTCTGAGAGGCCCAGATTACACATGATTGGGAATTTTCATGCCTCTCAATCAGGAAACTATCAGAGAATCTGGGGCGAAAGGAAGTTGCATCAAGAAATGCTAGCCCTATCACAATACTACTCTAGATCTTTACAAGTAAAGCTGTGTTACTGAACCATTTATGTATTAATAAACATGCCCAATCTCAATTGAGATTTTCAACTACGAGTTCTTACGCTAATAATTTAATCATCCCAATGCCATCCCAGTGACAAGAGTCCCTGACCTTAGCTTGGCTAGATTTCAAATGAAAGACAGAATCTACTGCCAATACTGAAAACCTCTCCAGCTTAACAGAACCTGACATTTTGGGCTCTGATGGCATAGAATTCAAGACTAGTGGTTTACCACAGAACATAAAGCATTTTGATGGGTTTGCTACACTGATAGAAATATAAAATATGTTTAAAATGATCAGATGATTGGAATCACTGATAATCTTTTTCTAATGAAAAACATTATCAGAAAAAGCAGGCAGCAAATTTAGGCCATTTATATATGTATAGGATTTAAAAGTCAAATATGACAGTCGTACATAACTATTTTTACTTTTATTCCTTTGAACATATTTTTATGGATAAACTTGCTGGTAATTAATTACTACAGATCCCTTCTCCCACTGGTGAGTTCCTCCTGGGGACTCCATTTGGGAAGGAGCTCAAGCCAGTCAACCTTCATTATCCTTCATTATCTTCCTCCCTCTGCTGGTAACTTTCCAGATTTCAACACAGCATCCCTGTGAATATACCTCCCCCCACCCCCCAATGCTTTCTCAACTTGAGCTCCCTTTTTTGGTTTATGTTCCCTTGTTAAAATGTAAGCTCCTTAAGGACAAGAGACTGCTGTTCTTTTTGGTTGTGTCTGCAGTGCTTCTTTAGAAAGGCCTTTTGCCTTACTTTTGCCTTTTCTCACTGTTGAAAACAGACATCTCCAACATCTTTTCTTTGCTACATTATGATACATTGCTGTCATTTAAATATTATGTGATAAAAGTGAATTGACTAATTCCATTTTTATACATATACATATACAACAATATACATATATACAGACATATACGTGCTCTAGTTACGAACACAGTAACATTATGAGAACCTAATAATCATTTTTTCTAGTATAAGAGAGAATCAATGAGAATTATTTATGAAGAATAAATTCAAGAGATAAATTTATTTTCTTGATTAAAGAATTCCATTTTCAAAACTAAATAATTAAGTGAAAATCAATTTAAAACAACAAAATATTTATTTAACTTTCTATTTAGTCACTTTCAATTTACTTAACTACTTTTAAGTTCCTTAATATGTTTCAAGGAAATTAGATAAAAAATAGTATTAAAGCTTCTAAAAATGGGAATGTTTTATTTTTGCTTTCTCCATATTTATCTCCAAGATGTACAGGGGTTTGTGGCCACTGAATATGTCACATAGAATGAAAATAATTAAATGAAAACCTGATCTTTCTGCAAATGATTGTTATGATATATATATAAAATGAAAAAAACAAGCTTAACCTTTCTATTTACTACCATAATTACTTTACAGCATCATAGCTATGATATAACTATTTTAAGCATCCTATAAATGGCTGTTTTCTTTACTGTCAGAAAAAAGGAGATAGCAGTCCTTACAATCAGTATCACAAAGACTTCTAGTACAGCTATGGGTGGTATTTTTTTTAACCTCTTCTGCCAATCCAAATCATTTACTATGTTACATTTTTGCATTCCAAGATATTGGACACCTCAAGATTCAAGTGTTGGAAACATTAGTTTGGAGAGAAGGGTTTTGAAAACATCAGATTGTAAAATCATCTTTTAAATTAGCAAACACAACACAAATCATTAAGAATCAATCTCCATCTTTTCCCCACCCTGTCAACCTCCTCTCCCCTCATCTTACTAGCCCAGTCTGGAAATACTGAGATTATTACATAAGGACTACTCATAAGCATGAGAACTTTGACCTGCTATGTTTCTGAAATGGGCTGGTTCTCTCTCAGGGCTCAACACATTAAAATCTTAGCTGCATGCAGACACCTGATCACATAGTCCATTGTGACTCAGAACTCCTAAGACACCTGCCAGCTTCAGCCTCCAAGAACTGAGATTAAAGGTGTATGCCACCACACCCACCTCTATTGGCTCAAAGTAAATGCATACAACATTATGCAGCTGTGTAGTCCTCACTGCTCCTTAGAAAAACAATATTTATATGGGAAACATTCCACTCCATAAATATTTGTTAGATGGATGAAGTAATGAATGGATCAACCCAGCAGAAGGCATACAGGAAAATCTGAGGCTATTTTTCCTCCTCCTCATCAGTCAGCAGAAAAAGATGTTTAAAACAAAACATTTATTCTTTGAATCGCACAGTGAACTGAGAACAAAAAGAGGAATAAATGAAAAAAGGAACAAAAATGAACAACTTAAACACACAGGCAAATCAAAGAAGATAATGCCATATATCACTCCTGAGAGTATTCAGTGTCACTTCAGTACTTTCTTTGAAGTATCAGAATTTCTTAGAATGTCACACACCCACAAATTATATCAGAGTTGCTGTTTTTTTTAAAGCAGTTCAAAGTCAATAGACATGATATATAATACGTGATTGTAAAATTAATAATAGAGAAATAACTGAAAAAATATCAGTTTACTTGCTTTCATGATTTGGGAATGACAGAAACTGACACTAAAATGTGTCAATGTAAGAGATTTTAAAATTAAATTTAAAATAAATTTAAATTAAAATAAATTTAAAAATAAATGTGATACCATTTTGATTTATCTGCAAGACCATGCCAAAGACACACAAATCATGGTATGGCATGTATGTGTGAGAGAAAACTAAACACAAAAAACTAAACACATACTTCTATGCTGAGACTGGTGAAAAGAATAAGCTTTACTCCGTTCTGGAGAGTAACTTCTGCTGCTAACACTGGAGCCAGATCTGCTATGAGGAGAATCTTTTCGATTTACAGGAGACTCCCGGAAGAATGGATTTTCCCTTTTGTGAGGAGACCGTTCTCTCATGTGATGGGAAGAGTAGAAAGTTTTTCTTCTAAAGCCATCTCTAGTGTCCCTTTGGAGAAAATAAAATAAAAATTACTATATATTTTTAAAAACACAAACCAAAATAAGTGATAATGATTACTTTATAAGTAGCACTTTATATAATCGTTATAAGGCCTGTTAGTTCACTTTCACATAAGTTTTGGCACCCCCATAAAATCCAACTATGAGACAGGAAAATGTAATAGCATCTATCACTACTGCTTCACAATTTGGACTGAACAACTCTTGAAGAAATAGCTATTATATTCTAAACAAATATTCAAAAATCCATAGCAAGAAGGCATACAAAAAGGTTAGAAGAGGAGGAAGTAACTTCAAAGGCCATCTGATCCAACCCTATACATTTTACAGATGAGGTAAATGATGACTAGTAACTTAAATGACTAGCCAAAGGTTACAAAGGAAATGAGTTCTTCAACCTGCCTACCACCCCACCCCACATGTAAAACAACTACATTAGAACCATTAGACACAAAACAGTACCTATTCTACTCTTTTTTTTAGTCATTTTATTGATACCAGTAAATTCCTTCTAAGCTCCATGTTAAATCAATCTTTCACCAAAACAAAGAAAAACAAAACAAAACAGATTAAAAGGCTACCTCACTGAACAGTACATTCAAATTTCAGAGAGGGACAGCACTTCTCACCCTCTGGAGAAAAATGCATTTCATTCTGTTTTCTACTATCCAAAGTGATCACTGATACTCGTCTGAATTCATGTTCCTTTCAGTATAGTTTTTAATTATTTTACTAGAGTCATTATGTATTTAAGGCTCTTGGATCTATCTACTTTGCTGCATTCATATTTCTTCCTTGAGGCACAATAGTTTTCCTTTACTTTCATGTACCAGATTTTGTTCTGCCCTATCCCTAAAAACAGGCACACATACAGTTTCCATTTCTTTGCTACTACAAAAAGTACTTCTGTGACTATTAGCTATATGAGAATTTTCTTCCTCTGGACTGACTTTGGTTAAATGAGTAATTATTTCAGTATTCCTTTAAAGAACACTTTATAGTGTATTTATGCAATTCCTAAGTGTGTTTTGGTAGGTTAACTCTCAAATGTACTATGTATTTTGTAGTTATTTTAAATGAATTTTTTTCATTTCCTTAGTTTTTATTAGTATATATAGATATTAGTGCATACAGGAAATGTTTGTGATTTCTATGGCTTTATTTTGTATCTTGCTAACTTACTTAAGTTTTTAATCATTTCTATTGGAGTTGACTTCTACCAGCCAAGATGGCAGACTAAACAGTAAATCACTGTCATTCTCCAATACTGACCTCTGAAAAAAAGAAAAAACAGCACACCAAGAAAAATCCTGAAACAGAGGAGCCAACAAAAAGACTGGGTGGAGCAGTTTTTCAGCAGAGAAAACTTGGAGGATCAGTGAAAAAGGTCCACTTCACTCTGGTAAGAGGGAAGTACACCCTAGGCCAAGAAGTGTCCCAGCAAGCCAGCAGCAAACCCCACCTCAGCAAACCAGCAGGAGATCCTAAGCCCCAGGGTGGTGGAGCAGGCAAAAGCCAACACCACGACCCCCGACTAGGATGCCCCATGTGTTTTAGCATAGCCAGGGGAACTGGTACATTCCAGCTCAGAGAACCACCACATGTTTCAGTGCATCCCTGAGCAGGTAGGCATCCCCTAATGGGCAGACACCCCCACCCCGGGCTTCAACATAGCCAAAGGATAGCAGTATCTTCCATCTGTTGAACTTCACTGTAATCAGGCACAGCCCTATGTAGGCAGGCATCCTCCAGCAGCAGTACTTCACGGAGCTCCAGTGCAGACCCAGGGAAATGTAGAAAAACCCTACCTGGCACATGCCAGATATTACCACTAGGACCCCAGCTCAGCACCAGGTAAGCTGCCAGACACCTATAGCCTATGGCTTAATGGCACCTGAGGTCCCAGTACACAAAGCCAGTGACTAGGACCCTGGCCCCAAGCACAAGAAGCCTGGGACAGGACCTCCTGTATTCCAGCAAGAGATCTCAACTTTAAAAGCCAGGAAATGGGCAAACAACACGAGCAAAAAGCCAAACTGAACACTGACCACAGACAATTTCTATGAGGACAGGGAAGATAAAAACACAAACTCAGAAGGGAACAACATACACCTACATCTGAAATCTCAAGGGAGAATATGAATTGGTCGCAAATCCCAAAAGCCTTCTTTGAAGAGCTCAAGAAGGATTTCAAAAGTCAAATAAGCAATATATTAGAAAAATTGGGAAAAGAAATGAGAAGTAACCGAGACAGAGTCAATAGCTTGGAAAAGTAAGAACAAAATTGACTGATGAAAAAATTTCCTTAAAATATACAATGGACCAAAGGGAAAAAGAGGTACAAAAATTCAGTGAAGAAAACTCCCTAAAAAGCAGAATCAACCAAATGGAAAAGGAGGTACAAAAATTCAGTGAAGAGAAGAGCTCCTTAAAAAGTAGCATTGGCAAAATGGAAAAGGAGGTACAAAAGCTAACTGAATAAAACAATTCATTAAAAATTAAAATTGGGCAAGTGGAAGCTAATGACTCTATGAAACAAAGAATCAGTCTAACAAAATCAAAAGGATGAAAAAATAGAAGAAAATGTAAAATACCTCACAGGAAAAACAACTGACCTGGAAAACAAATCCAGGAGAAATAATTTAAAAACTATTAGTCTAGCTGAAAGCCATGATGGGGGGGGGAAGAGCCTGGACAGCATCTTTCAAGAAATTATCAAGGAAAACTGCCCTGATATTCTAGAACCAGAGGGCAAAATTGTCATTGAAAGAATCCACTGATCATCTCTTGAAAGAGAACCCAAAATGAATACTGTAGCCAAATTCCAAATTATCAGGTTAAGGAGAAAATACTATAAACAATTGGAAAAAAAAACCAAATTAAATATTGTGGAACCACAGTCAGGATTACGCAGGACCTTGCAGCTTCTACACTAAAGTATCAGAGAGCTTAGAATGTCATATTCTAGAAGGCAAAAGAGCTTAGATTACAACCAAGAATCAACTATCCAGCAAAACTGAGCATAATCTTTCCAGGGAGAATATCAACATTCAATGAAATAGGAGACTTCCAAACTATCCTGATGAAAAGCCAGAGCTGAACAGAAAATTCAATCTTCAAATACAAGATTCAAGAGAAGCATAAAAGGGTAAACAGGAAAAAAAAAAACAATAGGTAATTCAGTAATGGTTAAACTGTTTACATCCCTACATGGGAAGAAGATCCTCGTAACTCCTGAGAACTGTATGAAGGGGTATACATAGCACAGGGCATGAGTATAAGCTGACACTGATGTGATGATCAAAAAAAAAAAATTACTGGGGTAGGAAAAAAAAGGATTGTACCATGAGAAGAGGGAAAGATGAGGCAGAAAAGAGTAAATTACATCACATGAAGAGGGCCAAAGACCTATTAGAGTAGAGGGAAAGAAGGGAGGAAGATGAGCATTGTTTGAACCTTACTGACATAGGATTTGGTTCAAGGAGGGAATGACATACACACTCACGTATAGAAATCTAACTTACCTTGCAGGCAGAGGGGGGAGGTAGAAGGGAAGGAAGAAGTAATAAGTGAAAAGGGAAAGAAAAGGGAGGGGGCTGACAGAAGGCAGGGCAGATTGAGGGAGGTGGTGGTCAAAAGCAAAACTCTTGTGAGGAGGGAAAGGGAGAAAGGAGAAAGAAAAGCACATACAGTGGTTGAGGGAAGATGGAGAGAAAGACACAGATAGTAATCGTAACTGTGAAAGGGAATGGGAAGAACTCTCCCATAAAATGGAAATGGATAGCAGAATGGTTTAATAACCATAATTCTACAAAATGTAGTTTACAAGAAACACATTTAAAACATAGGGAAACACACAGGATAAAGCTGTAAAAGCCTGGAATAGAATATATTGTGCTTCAGTTGAAGTAAAAAAAAAAAAGAGGTAACAATCCAGATCTCAGACAAAGAAAAAGCAAAAGGAAATTACATCCTGCTAAAAGGCACCACAGACAATGAAGTAATATCATTACTAAACATATATGCACCAAGTGGAATAGTACCCAAATTCTTAGAGAAGTTCAGGAGGATACAGGAAGAAATAGACAGAAAACTATACTAGTGGGGGACAAAAACCTCCCCTCTCTGGACTAGACGAATCTAACCACGAAATAAACAAGAAAGAAGTTGAGGAGGTGAATAGAATTTTAGAAAAGTTAGATATGGTAGACCTCTGGGGAAAACTGAATGGGTACAGAAAGGAATATACCTTTTTCTCAGCAATACATGGCACCTACACAAATACTGACCATGTACTAGGGCATAAAAACCTCACACTCCAATGCATAGAGGCAGAAATATTGAATATATCCTTTTCAGATCACGATGCAATAAAAACTACCTGTAACAAGGGGCCATGGAAAGATTGGCTAAAAATTAATTGGAAGCTAAATAATCTAATCCTAAAGAATGAGTGAGTTAAACAACAAACCACAGAAATAATAACTTCATCCAAGAGAATGACAATGAGACACCATACCAAAACTTGTGAGATGCAACCAAATCAGTTCTTAGGGGAAATTTTATATCACTAAATGCTTACATGAATAAAATAGAGAAAGATCAATGAATTGACCAAACAACTAAAAAAGCTGGAAAAAGAACGAATTAAAAATCCCCAATTAAATATCAAAATAGAATTCTGAAAATCAAAGGAGAGATTAATAAAACTGAAATAAAGAAAACTAAGACCTGGTTTTATGAAAAAAACAAACAAACAAAACACCAGATAAACCTTTGGTTAATTTGATTTTTTTAAAAAGAAGAAAACCAGGGGCAGTTAGGTGGCGCAGTGGATAGAGCACCAGCCCAGGTTTCAGGAGGACCTGAGTTCAAATCGGGCCTCAGACACATAACACTTACTAGCTGTTTGACCTTGGGCAAGTCACTTAACCCCACTGCCTAGCCAAAAAACCCCCAAAAAAACACCAAATTACCAGTATCAAA